AAGCTTAAAATTTTTTGATCCGAATTTTTAAAATTAGCATAATTCTTTTACAAGTACGGCATATCCAAATAAAATGATTTGATGGAACTGAAATCCGAGTAATTTTTCTACGTTATTTTTACTTTCCATGGAAATTATTTAATTTATAGAAATATTTTTTTGATTATAAATTCATTTTTTGAAATTTGAAAGTAAAAAAACGAACCCAAATAAATAAGCTTAACTTTTTATTGAAATCGTGACAAATCGTGATCACTTAACAACTTAATACTAAAATTTGGATAAAAATCTTGTAAAATAATTTTAATAAAGATAAGCATTGACTAAAAATAAAGTAAATGTTGTAATACTGCTTCAGGCAACAAAGGTCAAAGGGGAAAAATTTTAAAAGCAGTGCAGGGATTAGAGCATTCAGTGATTAATGATAATATGTTCTAGTAGAGAAAAAAATCACTTGCTGAGATCGACTAGACTATCTTTAGAAGTGCTTCTTAGCATACGCTAAACTATATAAGACTGAAGGAAGAAGCAGCTGTTTCTTCCACCAATTCTACCCATTTTTTGCTTCAATTTTCAGCGCAAATTTTTCATTACTTTCGTTTCTATCATTTCATTCTTAAAAAATACACTCAAAAGTCAAATTTATGCTAGCATTTGCAAGCTTTTGCGCACAATCGAATGCTATCGCTTTGGTTAAGACTTTGCTGCAACAGATAATTCCAACAATCAAAATGGCAATTTCAGTTATTATTTTATATTTTCTGACGTTGCAGAAATGTTCCTCTACTATTCCCATACTTTTTTTGCTAAATCAGAAAGGCAGAATTAATAACTGTGGCTAATTTGTTATCCGTTATGCAGTAATATAATCCATTACTTATTTTTGAAGCTCTTATTACTGCCAAATTTATCCTTTCGTTGCTAAATTACTTGCTAATAACTGTAATCCAGTAATTTGCGACAAATTTCTGAAATTTTTAATGAATATTTAGTTATTGGATACTTGATGATCGATAGCATTTTAGATCACATTTACTAGATTGAATGATAAATATTTAATTGCAAATAATTATCTGTGGAACATTTTGCGTTGCTCACAAATTATCAAAATAACCCGTTATTAATATTGAGAAACGTTAATAAAATTTAAATAACGTGAAAGATTTGCTTACTAAAGTATTTAGCAGTGCGCCGTGCAATACAATGAAAGCATTCACAATTGTGCATTATTTAGATTCTAAAGAATATACTTGAAAAGTTCTGTAATAAAACTCGAAATCCATAATTTCTTCAAAATTTAGAGTTACTTATGTTTATAACAATTTATAAAGATTAATTGTATTACTAATACTTCTGTAATTTAGGTTGGATTAAATTAAGCAAATACTTCAAAATGTAAAATATGTTTGCAAAGATTATTAATTGATTCAGAAGGAATCAAATACTGATATGTTCATTTAAATTCTTTGCTCAAAAAGCGGAAATTATTATATGTAACTTTTACAATTTTTTATTCGCGTAAAATAATTTTTAAACTTTTTCCCTTCTTTTCTTCGTAAAGTTTTTAAAAAAAGAGCAAGACAAGCTTTTTCAGTAATGGCAGAATAATTTTCAGTATATTCAATGCCTGCTAAAATCTTTTATTAAGTTAACGTTACGCTTTTGTCTTCAAAAATTACTTCACAATCTATTATTTATTTTCATTACTTTTTTGTCCAGAAGGAACAGACAAGAAGTACTTCTCAATTTTTTGAGAGCAAAAATTTGATTCAAAACTATTTCAGGGCTTAAAGAATAAAATAACTGCTAAATAATTATTTTATTATAAAAATATTAGAAGCAATTTAGATTATTTTAATTAAATCAGTCAAATTAAAGGCGACAATTTCACTGCCACAAACAAAAGTTAGCAGTACTTTCAGGGCAACGAATGTTTGCAAACGAGCACAAACATCTGAAAGTCGTTTGGAATTTTTATAAATTCCGCAAATATAAATGAATTATTATAAAATTTCTTCTCATCAAAACTTGTCAATAAATCTGTTCTAGCAGTAAAAGTTTAACATTGAAAGATTCACTTATTCGCCGCAATTTCTGACTTTTACCACTGCGTAAAAATTTGCGTAAAATAATCAGTGGCTAAAATGTAAATATTTAGCAAAAAAATCCACTCAATTTTTTAATTTTAGCAAAATGTTTTTAAATTGCCCAATTGCTTATTCCATTTTGCATGAGTATTAATTTTTTCATTTATATTATTTCTGAAAAATGGCTGCATTTTTTGATCTAAGTAATGCAAAAATAGCACGAAAGTATATGTATGTCTTTGCCACTTCCACTTCCACTTCCGGATAAGCCTGGCTTAATCTAGAGTGCACACTCATAGAGATTTCAGGCCTTCAATGAGTCCTTAGGCTATGCTAAAACCCAATCCATCGCCAAGCTCATTCAAATTTCAGCTTTTTTTAGCAAGCGATTTCAAATAAAGATTCTTATTGTGCTCATTTACCCTGGATGATTATTTAAAAAATGCCTCTTTTACAAAGTAACTAATGACACTTTTTCTTTACTATCTAAGAGATTAACATGCTTAATTTTTGGATCTCTTGGCATAAATTTGAAGTGAGTAATAGTTTTGAAAGTTTATTTCTCATCATTCAACTTGAAGGAAAATGACACGGATATGACAGATAATTTGAGTTCACAGTAGCAGTTCAGCTGCTATCTTAGGATTAATTATCTTTTAACGAAAGGAATTTGTCGTTTGATCAGAGAATTAATCTAATTTCAAGCAGTGATAATCAGTTCACTTTTATTGCCGTAATCCCACAGAGGTAAAAATGAATTATGTTGCTTTTATCAATAATTTATCAATAATGACAATAATCTTTATTGTAAACTTGTTCGCTGACGGTAACGTGATTATATATGTCATGTTTCTGAATACAATGAAGACATTTGCTTTCGCTGTTTACTGTCTATATTACAGCAATTTCGTCTATCTTACAGGGCGCATATATACTGTTCAGTAATAATTTCTGATCATAAAAACTTGACAACTAATCTTTTTGCTTTAAAGTCTTAAATTTTTATGATTGTTCGTGACTACTTTTTCTGCACAATTTTCTTTAATCTCTATTATTTAGTACTTTGCAATCAATTTTATATTCCAAACTACTAAATAGTGATTACGTTTTCGTTTGAATTCTTTACTGAAATTTAAACTACATTTTAACAGGTGATTTGCAGACATTCCAGTTAATGGAGAAGCTCATCGTGCTTAGCTTCCTTTTCACACTTTATGTTTTTCAAATTTTTGCTCAGGTAAGTTAATAACTAGTTATTACGTAAACTTTCCATTTGCTGTTTGTAATATCACGTAAAAATAAATGCTCTTACTTTTTACTCAAAGTCATCTAACAAAATAAAAAGTAGTAATTCTTATAATAGTAGAGAGAAAATGAATATTTTGGACTGCAGTTTATAATTTGGGATTTTTATACGCAGTCCATTATAGTTATGGATAAGAGTCAAGTAAACAGATATAACTGAAAATAAATATTTAAGATTTTCCAGTATTGCATAAAACTTGAAAGTTTAATGCCTTCAGTAAAATCTGAAGCTACACGAAAATTTTTCAGTGACTTTCTACTTGAAAAAAAAACTTATAAATTATAAATGTAGTTTGATATACAATAAATAAAAGCTACAAATAATCCATTCTGCAAACGGTTTATCACGGCCATCGATCACTTATCATAATAAGTATTCTAAAACTTTACTCATCATGGAATCATCATAGTAAGTATTCTAAAACGTTATTCATCATAATAAGCTAATCCCAAATATATTCAATAAATAGGCTTTCTACACAAATAACATGCATGTAATTTAAAAGTATTTCCCGAAAATAGCACTTTTGACCTGCCAAATAATTTATAAAGGAAGTCAGTTTTAAATCAGGAATTATTCAAAATCGCCTCAATTTATTGCATCTTAAAAAAATGTATTATGCGTGATTTTTTGCCTTGATTATATGCAAGCGATAAAATGAGGTCCTTCCCTTCAGTTAGAAATTTCGATAGAGGCATTTCACGCTGACTTAATTATTAACTCTAAAAATTTTAAATCTTAAACTAATTTAGAGGAACCAAAAGAAGCCTCTGCTCTCTAGTACAACAGCAAAATCGTCGCTACGATTCAATTTTTTCAGTTCTTCAGTAAAATAATGCTCATAATCTTGAACATACGCTATTTTCTAACTCTGATTAATTAAGTCATTAATCAAGCACAACTATATGCAGCAGATGAAAGCAAGTTCAGATGTCTGCTCGATGGCAGTTCAGATGTCATATAATCATTTCTCTAATTAAATTTTATATAAATATGCTGTTATGAAGATGATTGAAGAATAATTTTTTGTTTAAACAAATTGATAAATATGCATCCTTCCATTTATGTGCATTTCTTCTCGGTCAAATAAGTCTTAAGAGATAAATCTCTTAAGAGATTAAACTTTTGAGGAGGTCAGAAATTATGGGGTCACCAGTTTTGTTGTTGAATATGAATTAGTTGAAGCGCAGTTTAACTTTTATTATTCCATAATGACGTATTATAACGCAAAATAATGTTACGCTGATAACAGGAAAGAAATTTTCAAAAAAATTAAAGAAAACGCTGTGTTCCTTAAAATTCAAAAATTGTTCTACATATGCTTATCACTAATCAATTTTACACATATTGTATGCAAAAAATATCTACCAGTTAAAAAATATCAGAATCAGATCAAATTTTTGTATAACTGTTCTTACCAATCGAATCATAAAATAGTTCTTTTTCCTAAATACATTGCTTCTAACTAATTACTTCTCAAATGAAGGTGCTGAATGATTATTTGAGTACTTCATATATTTTCAAGACTGTTGCAAGATAACGTTCTCTTACACTTACTACTCAGTAGAAATAAAAGAATCAGAAAAATAACTATTGTAGTAAATCATATGAGTTTGATGAACTTACAGCAGTCGCAATTTCAAACACTGCAATGCGGTACGACAACCTTTAGTAAGTTAACCTTTGACGTACCTAACCGCTCAATTTTTCTACCCACTGGTCGACTAGTATATGTGCCCTTGGAGAAAATTGTTGGTGGTGAAATCTGTCGGCTAGCTGCTACCACCAAACCACATTCTACTTATTCTTTCACCAGTTATCAAGTAACTACATTACTTACGTAACTTATGTCTTTAAAAGAAAACATGATACAGAAGAGCTCAAGCTCAATATATTATCTCAACTTGTAAATTTAACCAAAACCTGTTTATGAACCACAAAATAATTTCTCTCTTTCACTCAATCATCAAACATTGTATCACTAACTTATAAATCACTTCTAAATTCTTCGGTAGCGATTATTCAAAGCTTAAGCAAAGCTAAATAAAGCTTATTTCAAAATTCACAAGCATGGTGCACCATATTGGACTTGAACTATCATAGTTAGTTACTAATTCATCAAGCAGTAATTTAATAATTTGTTCAAATCTTCAGGTTATCGCCTAGTTATAAGAAGCAATTAAAATATTCTATTTTTTGATCTGTTAGCTCAAATATCCAATCAGTATTAAGCTTATTTCAGTGTTAGATCTAAATAAAATTCTTTGCTCATAGCAGACTTTTCTTTTCATCAGAATTAACTTACTTTTTAAGTAATTTATTGTTTTCGCATTTTTCTTTTGTGAGTACAATTTTGCAGCAAATCATTACGCAGTGTAACAATTGTACAGAATGTCCATCAGGTCTTAACAGTATTTATGCATATTTACAAAGAATATTAAAAGATATCAAAGTATCGCTGATCGTAATCATTCGCGGTGCCATTCATCAATTAGTAAAAGATAATGAAAGTGATAAAAAAATTCGCTTTGCATTCATTGATGAAGAAGTCCCAATAACATTAGAAGATTGTCAAATTGTCGAGAGTACAGATAATGATACGTTGCGCAGCTTCTCAAAAACTTCTGTACTATTCGTTTCAATTTCTTTCATTATTCTAATGGTTATTTCGCTTGCATGGCTTGTCTTCTATTATGTGCAACGGCAAGTTAATTTCGAATAATTTCCATTTTTCATTCTAATTCTTTTAATTAATTACTAATTCATTAATAATAATTTACTCTAAAACATTCCTCAAATAATATTTCATTCTATTTTTCAATCTTCACAGTTTTTATCGCATAAAAACAAGCCATTCTATTATTTAGTACTGAAAACATTTACGGCATATTTCACGTGAAATTTATAAATTTATTCAATGTATTATTTTTTTTAAATCAATCCGATCAGTTTATATAGATTTCGATATGCATACGCTAAAGATCGTCTTCAACGACGATTATTTAACGCAGCGAAAAAAGCGTTGACACGTATTCCAACGAAATCAATTGGAATCGGGGATGAGATACTTGATACGGATTGTCCTGTTTGCATTGATCCATATCGAACGGGTGATATTGTACGTTCACTTCCGTGTAGGTAAGCATAAATCTATCTTTGTGATACTTTTTAAATACATTTTTGATTGTCTAAAATTCAGGACCTCAAAAAATTTTTAGACATATATTTCATAAAACATGTGTCGATCCATGGCTTTTGGAGCACAGAACCTGTCCTATGTGTAAAAGTGATATTTTAAAGGTTAATACTTCATTTTACAAATTATTTAATTTTATTTATGCAAATTTTGCAAGCACTCAGCTAATACAAAGGTGAAGAATTGCTTCACTCGAAATGATATTATACAAAATCAAAAAAATTACTTCCTTGAACTCGTTCTGAGAATAATTTCAGGCTTTTGGCTATCACATTTCAGCAAATCGACGTGCAGCAAACAATGCAGACGGAGAAAGTGTGCAGCAAATATCAAGAGATGGTCATAGGTTGAGTGTCGATGTACATTCTTTAGCTGAATCTGAATCTGCATTTCCATATACAGAACATTCCGAGACACAAGATCCTTTTACTTTTACGCCTATAACACAACCGCAGGTAGTTCAGGTAAATTACGCTTATTTTTACAAGCATGATTTTCAGTTAAATAATGGTAGCTAGTGCAGGTAAATAATAATTCTTTAAAATTTAGGACAAATAAAAATTTTTAGACATATATTTCATGAAACATGCATCGAGAGCCATTACTGATTTGAATTTTAGTGAATCATGATTTACCTGAAAATCACACCTGAACTGAAATTTATAGCACAAATGAATTGAAACTTAATTGAAGAAACAAATGTACCGAAAATTTCTCTTGTACTTTCACAAAAACTTATATTAATCTACCGGATATATGTTTCCAACAAAATAAAATTTAATTTCAAATCAAAAAAGCAATATTTAGGTTCCAAAAACAAACAAGCAGTGCAGTCGTATGATATCTTTCAGGTAATGCACTGCTCAAATGCAAATGCATTTTCTATCATCCCATTAACCGTACACAACATGCCCGCACCAGCTGCTTCTAACGAGGAATCTCGAAATGAAAACAGTTTGTTTAATTCTTTTTTTCCACATTCTGAACCACTGCATCAGTACTAATACATACAAATAATGAGAGGTTACACTTGCGAGCTAATCACGTGGATTTGTCAATTATCATAATGTTAAACTCATTTGATAATTTTGGTAATTCTGTCCACTTTCTTCACTCTAATCAAGCATTTCAGTGAGTACCGAACAGGCCAGTGTTTTCCCTCGTCGAATCTCATGGCAGCTTCGCAGGCCATCTACTGCTGCTCATATTATCAACCTAATTCACGTCCGTTCATGTTCATTTTCTCACACTACACCGCCATCATCTGAGCTGCAAAAATCTCAGAGAGTGACATCACGTTCGAGTACATTTGTATCCAGTCCAACACAAGAAGTATCAAATAAGAAAGTAGGAGTACTTAATGATAACTTTCAACCATCACCTTCCTCGCTGGTACCAAGTGAACTTATTTTTGCTTCATTACCAGGTCAAACATGTTCGTCTTCTTTTCAAGACGAAACTAAAACAGGTCAATCACCAACATCGCATACGAATGTATAGTTTATATTTAATCCACTTCACGTTTGCTATTACTCCGTTGATCTCGTCTACCTTGTCTGCACCATCTGCTGAAGATCATTTTTTTAGCTCTTAGGATACAAACTTGATCCGAATAATTTTATTACATACATGCTAGACATTACTAGCGCCTTCCTAATCATGTAGTAATCTTAAACTACTTTCAGTGAAAACGTGTTTCATCTCGAAATACAAATTGTGACATACTATCAGATCTCACAAAATTTGTTCTCTGTGATTCTTGAAGTGCAATCTGTTGCAACTCCATCTCTTCCTTGTCTTGTTGCCTTGTTTTATAACTTAAAAACCTCCTAGTCTCGACTGATTCATAATAATTGTAAAAATGGCAATAAAACATGTCCATGGAAAACTACAAATCAGTGCACTAAAATCACAATTTACTTCCACAACCAAATTTAGAATATCCAAAAGACCATCTTCTTGATACACGTAGATGACTTTTTAACTTACTTTCAACTCATTCTTCCTGAACAAATCCCTTCTTCATAATTGATGTACCAAGATATGACTTCTTATTTTCCACAATACTGCAATCAATGCTTTAAAGTTCGATTTTCGTTCAAAATGCATGCATAACTCAACAGTCACTTTTTTACTGCATAACGAACCACAAATAATTATAAATTAGAAAATATTTCAGCATTTCAATTACATGCTATTCCTTATCACATTTTGCTATGCCACAAATAACATCAGGTTTGATGAAATGGAAATAAATTACTAACAAATGAGCAAATATGACAAATACTACTGGGATAAAATTGGAGTCTCAATAAAAGTATTTAATATCCCAAAATGATGGTACAATTATGAAAAACAACATTTATGTAGCAGCATTCAGTTTCATATATTCATATGATGGTATTCAGTGATATTATTTGCATATTCTACTTTTGAAGTGTACAAATAAGTGACTTCACTTCTTTTGCGTCAACGATTTCTTGAATTCCTCACTAAATGTCTTAGAAAAAAATTGGATCCGCTTCAAGAAATCATGAAAGATCATAGCACCCGAACCATAAACTGTTGAAACGAAAAGGCGAGCAGCTGAACGAATAATTCTAGAATCTGCTAGCTGCAATAATAAAGCACACATAAATATAATTTAATTTCGTCATTGAATTCTGTCTCTGTAAATTTATGAAAACAGAGGTTTCGATCAACGTATCAGTCCCTAATAAATAGCTATGAATTATGAGGGAATATTCAGACTTGGTGATAACAATGGAGGATTTATATCCGGTATATTTATCTGTGACAGTCATATATACGAGTATCTAATTCATCAAAAAAGGCAAATTATATGAGTAAAAAATTAATTTTAATGAAAAAGAACTTGAAACTACGTCTAGCTCACTTCTACATACTAAAAATACTTAAAAATTATATCTTCAGATAAAAGTCTGTTATATTATATTGTTTCATCTTCCATGATTTCTTTATCTTTTTCAAACATCTGTCAGTAATATAAAATCGGAAACTTTGTGCAATGATTTCTTCTAGACTTTGTCAAAATACATAGTATCGTGTGAGTATGTTTGGATAATGTTTAGCAGAAAGAAAGATAAAAATAAGTAAATCATGGAGATGAAACAATGATTCAACAAACATTTACATAAAGAAGCTTCTGTATTTAAAAAAATATCCAACTGAATAAAAAAACCTGTGGCGGTAGAAAATTAGCATACCTTTTGGATCACGCGTTCTTGATTTAAATACTGTCTGAAAACAAAATTACTATCATCAAATTTGCCAGCTAACTGTTAATGATAGTAATCAATACTTTGTGTTTATTTTCTTCCTTAAGAGAATGATAGGATGAAAATGAGAGTTTACTTTCTGAAAATGCATATAAAGCTGTTTGCTACAATAATGCTAGTGCTGGAAAATAAAGGTCATATTTTAAAGTACAGAAATTTACAGACCTACTGTAGATATAAAGAATAACGAGTATGTAACATGCAACACCGGTATGTTGCTTTTGTTACGTACTTTCTTATTGTAAGCATCACATGTTAGATGCATGTTACGCTTCAGTTCGTTACTGAACAACATAACCAGCATAACTGACATGTATGCTACACACTTTAGTCAGGACTGGATTAATCAGAAATTGAAAAGTGTCACAAACACCTGACAAATGTGAACTGTGAGATAAACAATGCATAATAAATATGTGATAAATATAGTAATGAACAAATAATAAAGGTGAACCTGAGTATATCTATTGGAATTTTTTACAAACTAAAACTGCATTATAGTTACAAAAATAGTGAGAATGAAATGAATATTAACAATACAATAACATACCGCAGAAACTGGTGCCACATAACATGCCCATGCGCAAATAAGATCGTAAGGTAGGATAATTAGGTGGTACTGCAGTGTAGCTATTCATATCAACACATATCGCGAAATAAACTCAAACCGCTTATGAGAATTGCATTCTAAGAGCTGATTGGTCCAAATGGATTACTATTAAATGCTATATTTGATTGCGAGTACATTCGTGTGGCCTATTTTGCATTTTGGTAGTAAGTGTGTTGGATTCTACAAGATAATATATTAATAGTATTGTTTACTATATTTGTTTCATTACTTGGCTTAATTACTGCATTTGCTCTTCATATCAAAATATTCTAGTAAACGAATGAACTGAGAGAGTTGTTGCAAAGACTAAAGTTATAAATTACTGAGAATATTAATTTCCAAGTGGTATTTCAATTTTGACTACTCGCATATTTAAATATTCATCTCATATATGGCGCGTCATCGATTGAAGCAGTCACGTAGTATGGATAATGCGAGAAAGACTAGTACTGACTGCTTTGAACTTCCAACGGAAATTATTTCATATATTTTTTCTTATCTTTCATTTGACGAAATCTGCTCTATAAGACTAGTGAGTCTTTATTCGTGAAACTTTTTAAAATGTCTGGAATGCTTGGGTATTGATTGGATAAAAATTGACGATAAATCTAAATTACAGAGTATTGAGACGGGAAAGACTGTGCTTACATTTTTATTCTCTGAAAAATATAATTGTTGAGATTGCTTCGAACTCTCATTTGCTTGTTTGCTTAAATCTCTAAATAACAAAAATACCTTTGATTGAAAATTTCTTCTCAAATTCTTTTGCATAATGTGTCCTATAATTGAGCCTGGGATTATCTGAAGATGAAAAACTTCACTAGCAAATTGACTATTCACAAAATAATAGCCGAAAATATACAATAAGTTTAATATAATATTCAAGTGTGGTAGGAAAGCACTACATTATTGCTAGTTTTACAGAGCAGAAAAGAAGAAAAGTAACTGTAGAATAGAACTTTGTGGTACTGATTTGTAGTATACATAAGTGAAATGTTTGTTACTATTCAGCAAAACTTCATTTTCTCAAAAAATGTAATTATTTTGTATTTTATTTAGTCTCTTATTTTGCTGCATTCTTTTGCAGGTATCAAAGAAATTTGATTCTATTGCACGTTCAATTTTGAATAGTTCTTTCTTTCGTCTTGGTGATCAGCTTGATAAAGCAATGTGCCGAGTTAAGAAAATGCTACCTAAAAGAGAATCTCAGCGAAGGTTTAAGTTCTTTTTTTTCGTCTAAATTCATTGCTAACTATATAATATTTATATGTAAATATAGTTTTCCTAACTTTTTAAATAACTTAGTTTTTTAATCAAATAAAGTCTAGTAGTGAAAATACCAATTAAAATATTTCACGGACTTAACCCTACGTGTTAAAGACTTCATGGTTTATCGCGTGTTAGTGAAGTTTATTCAGCGTTAGAAACGAGATACGCACTGCTTTCAATGACATTCAGGAAATACATAGATAATAATTCTTGTTGCTTCATCGCTGGCAAAGTAAGTTAAAAATTTTTCTAATTACGAAGTTACGTTTTTGCTATCAAAAATATTATTTGTCCGGAATGTAAGTAAAAGCATCACATAATTAAAAAATGAAACTCTTCACATTTCAGTTTGCGTTTCATTTATTTTTTCTTGTGATTGCTTTGTTAGAAAAGAAAAAGAATTACATGCAATTTCATAACTATTTTACTGTAAGATTCGTTCAGTGGAATCGAAACATGTTATAGTAAAGTCCTCAAACCACACTGATTTCTTCTTTGATTTCAATGATGTTACAAGTTTTGAGTTATAGCTGGATATAAAAGTGGTTTTTTGCTTAAAAGTATGTCTTAATTTCAATTTCTATACAGCTGTTAGATGAAGGCTTCGCCGTGTTAGGTATACTGGATAGTTGTGTTAAAAGAAAAGTGCAGCCATCAGAACCACAAGAATTGTTAAAGGACATTAGAGATTACTCAAGGTTATATTGTTTCATAACTCACTGAGAAACAAACCTTCACTTCATTGAAATTCAGTGGAAAGTCAAGTGTCATGATTTCATTCATATTGTTTTAAATTATAAACTAGAATCTTTATGTTGTCTTATAAACATTCCCTCTTCAGCATGGCTATGGAATATTTCGAGGAACAAATCGTTCCATTTCTATCTGTTGATAACCCTGTGAACCTATTTCATCGTACTCCAAATCGCTATTCCTTTGAGTCATTATCAAAAAGTTTTTCATTACCAATAACAAACGAAAAGTACGACCGTATTTCAAATGATTTTAATTTTGATCTCCTTCATCCACTCAGTTCGGATCTATTAATGTTTAGCTTTCAATCGCTGTACACTTCACCATCGTCAACACCTGTAATAGGCAGTAGGACAAACAGTATGTCATTAGCAGACAGTGTTGGTGATTCAAAAATAAAACAATGGAAGAAAAAAATTGATGATAGGGTGAAACGAAATGAGCAAATTATAGCTGAACAAGATCGTATTATTCGTGAGCAAAGTAAAGCAATTAATAATATCGTTGAATGTTTGCAACAGGTATATTCTTATTCATTATTTCAGTTCTCTTGCATTCAATTGACCACCCAAATCTTTGCACTTTTAAAACTTTGAAATCAATAATTTAGATTTCATAGTCAAATGTGCTCACGTCCACCTTTTTAGATTAGTTCAAAAATTTCGTTCACCTTCATGAAAGAACTGGAGACAGTGGAAGAATTATCATATCCAGGCTCACAATACTTAAATGTGCATGACAAAAGAAGATGCCTGAGAAAAAGGAAATTAAGTACACGTATGACAAATACCTCTGCTAAGAAATCAGCCTAGATTTTTTTTCACGCATTTTTATTTAATCAATGTCTAATGTTAATGCTAATTTCCAACAATACTGACCTTTAACCCTAACCCATGTCATTTCTTACGCATAACGTATATTGTACTCATAACCTGTCCTTAACTGTACTGTTGATTAGTGCATATAGTATATTCATAAAAGTTTGGACAAGAACCTCTTTAATAGTGTCTAGAAGCTATAATAAATATTACTCATTAACAGGATGGTCATCTTAATTTTACTGTTTACAACTGTGGAGAATAAACTTTGTGTACTACACATTTTTATGATTGAAACATTTCAACTTTATATATCGAGGATTTTTTGATGAGATCCGTCTGTCTTGAACTAGCCAACTTCATTAATGTCCTCGACTGAAAACCATTTCAAATCAGATCGGGACAAGATTTTTGAAGCACTGATGGAATAGAATACCATTAAATTAAGGAAAAATTAGGACTAACATCCGACAAGTGGTATTTCTACACTGACTTAATTAAAAGTTGAGAGACCGAGAAATTCTTACGGAGAGGTGAAAATTCAGAGCATGATAGTGTCACAAACAATGTAAACCTGTGACAGCAGTCTACCAATGGACTACAGTAACCAATATGTCACGCGAATTCCACGGACTGTAAGATTAGATTTCCTGCATGAATTTTCATATAAATACAAGGAAGTCCGAAGACTTATGTCTCTTAGTATTTACACCAGAAATTTTTTTTTTCCGCATTATGTGCGAGTAATCATGCAGTGTACGACTAAGAAATGAGGGATTTCAGAATTTTACAAATTAGCAAACTATTGTGGAAATTTCATGACCATAGTCATCATATCAGTTCATGCATACATAAGTTGAATGTATATAAAATCAGAATTTTCACCCCATTCTGAAGGGTCTCAGTAGCTGTATATCTAGTTCACATTTATGTCTATTTGGACTACAGTCATCAACGATGACTTAGTTTAGACATATACAATATCGTATTATTGTCGATTTATTCGTAACGGATTGGGAGTATCCAATTTCTTGCTAATATAATACTGCACAATATGCTCTACATTAGCCCTAAAATTGTCAAGATGTGTAGTGATATGGTCAATGCATATATCATTCACATCCTCTCTACCTTCAGCTAGCATTTTGAGAATGGTGCTTCGAGAAGGGGCAGCCAAAATTACAACCTAAAATCATGTAAAATTACGTGTATAAAAAGAATGTCATAAATATAGTGAAAGGAATGATTCTACAAAAAGACAAACGTCCCAATTTTCAATGTTCTACGAATATAAAAAGTTTTAGCTTCCAAAAAAAACCTTAAATAACTGCTTTGATATGAATCCATGATGCCTTTTCAGTGTATTGTTGTAAGCATTGCAAATACAACCTGTTAGACTTTCTGTCTGACTTTTATCCAATGAAGAGCGGTACACCCGTACCATCTCCGTCAAAAATTCAAGTATGAATTCCAAGCCTCTTAAATATCATCAGTACCACACTCTGCATCACTTTAACCTGCTATTTTTCAGCCCAAATCAGCGTTTATTTTTATCATCAAATACAATATAATAATGGGCAGAAATTAACCAAAGCATTACTGCTCACAAACATTAAAATAGAAGTCTTTTGTCGGAGGAAAAAAATCTGAAATTTTTTAAATGTATACAGTGAAATTTTTTAAATGTATACAGTCTTAGATGATAGTCACAATTAACCAATTTTGCAGCCCAAAATGACAGAGAATAAAAGTAAAAGTAACGAAACCTTTTTAGCCAAAGTAGTCCTTCTGTGGCTCTTTCCATCTTTCCGTTATTATTCTCAAGATCATCATCTACCAAATCTTCAACGAACTTGCATTTCTCTTTGTCTATTTCATATTTCGTTTTAACTTTGATAATATTAGTGCTAATATCATTTTTGACTGGAATGAATGTCGTTCCTAAGAAGCCTGAAATTTTTTAAATTAACCTCAATTTACATATATTTTCTTTGTACGCATACATAAATATTTTTAGTTCAAACCGTAAAAAAACAATAGAATAAAAGAAACAGCTAATGCTTACCTACAAAATCAGCAATACCTTGACAAGCCTTCAGAAACTGTTCAGTTGGTATTTTACCATTTTCAATCACTGGGAACATTCGTTCTGAATGTGAAAAGTATGTAGAAATATGAGATGATGGTGTAATCATGGTGATGGTGCATTCATGATGGTGGTGAATTCATACTGAAAAATCAATAATTTTCTGTTCAGCTCGTTGCATTAAAAAGAGCAAAAATATTAAAAAACAACTATTACTCTATTAAAAACAAGACTGCGATCGAAAAATCGAAAATCATTTTTGAATAAAAAAATAGCTATGACTTTCGAATATTGATGAGTACGACAGCTAAAATTTCGGTTTCACGTACAAATACTCTTAATTTGATTGCAACTTCCTTTAAAAGAATTTTTCTCAGAAAACTCACAAATTTCTAAATTGGTCTTTAATGCTTTTAACGAGCGTTGTGCACAATTAATAGCACAAATCAGAAAAATTTTCGCTGCATTTTTAAACTAAAAAATTAATGGTACGGGAAATTCTGTTTTATGTAAATGAATAACTAGCTTAATTGTCCCATTAAAACTCGTGATAAAATAAGCATATCATCCGAAACAGAAAAAACAACCTGTACCGAAATGCGAAACGTGAGTCGAGTAAGTCATACGTTCGTATGAACAGTCCGTATGAAAAAATAAAATCTCACGTAATTCATTTCATAATAAGACTCCTGTGTAACTTTTCCTTGGCTGTGAAAATCTGACATAGTATCGATCACTGTACTGTTAATGTGGTAGCTAATTAGAGATTTGTTCTCTGAAGTTGTTGCGTTGAGTTTGTTGTAGGTTTGTCTAAGTTTGTTGGTATGCGATATGTTCCGTGCAAAATATGGAAGTGAAAATTAGTCTGAGGGCACGCCTGCAAAATACGTTTGCTATATAGACTAGAGTGCACTATGACCTAACCTAATATATTGTGGTGATTAACTTTAATTATGGGACGCCTGTTATTTCGTATGTCTGGTCTCTAGGTGAACTGAACCGTACTTTTATCTGTAGTCAGATTTTTCACTAGAATTTGCGCATGCAAGTTAGTATAATGGGATATATTTCTCGTGAGCATGGGTATTCATGTTGCTATGAAGCAGTGAGATCAAATATCTATTAAAAAATACTTTTCAGAAAGTGCCAAACAAGTTCGTAGAAATGTATTGTCAACGACTTGCCACACCTGTAATCCGATTGACGGTAAGTATACTTTAGGGGAAGCTTAAATCATGATAAGTATGAAAGGACTCGATTCTTTCGTGATAGGCCTTCTTATTTTGGATTTCGTATATGTTTTTCTGGAAATAAAGATTTTGATATGTTTTGCTGGAACAGTATTAAAAGTTGAAATACTAAAAGTTTCGTATACTGCGGCTTTAAATGAAGGTAGTTGGGATAATTAAGTTGTTTCAGTAATTTACGAATTTCGTCTGTAGAGCTTTTAGTATTTGAATACCTTCAAATAACTGTCGCAATACGAACAATCATTGCAGATGTCACGGTTTGCACTCAGCTCGCAGTGTAGAGTCTTAGCTCGGAGTTTGCAGACATCAGCAGTACAACGCGATATTGATAGTGCAGCCAAGTATGTTGGAGCAGGAGCTGCCACTGTAGGTGTTGCAGGATCTGGTGCAGGCATTGGCAATGTTTTCGGATCACTCGTCATCGGTTATGCTCGAAATCCATCAGCAAAAAATCAACTTTTCTCATATGCTATCCTTGGTTTTGCTCTTTCAGAGGCGATGGGCCTTTTTTGTCTTTGTATGGGTTTTTGTATTTTATTCGCATTTTAATATTTGCAGCAGTTACGAAAAGGAAATATATTCGAAATTCCAGATGCAGATATGATTATGAGTTGTTCAAATTAGGTTTCTGAAGATAGATTTTAAAGTGGGTGTTCACCACATCCAATTGTGCTTTGTTAAAGATCATGTGATAGGTTCATATTATGCTGTTTACTGCGACTTTACATAAATCATTTCTTTGCGACATCATCTGCTTAACAAAAAAATGCTTGTGAGTGTATCAGTTGTAGGGATTTGATTTATTCAACTGTGAAAATGAGAACATAAAGATGTTAGACAGATGTAACAAGACAAAACCAGGATTGGAAATCACTGAATAAAAGAAGTTCGATCGAATTACTGCTAAAGAGCTAAATTAATGTTTTTACAAGCAACACCAAACGTTATTCCAGCATCCTCAGATAATTCCTCATTGCCAAGAATCATGATTTCATTGAGAGTTTTTAACTCCCACATGGTTATGTACTCCTTGTAATTCAGCAGTTCACTTAAGTCCGCCTCCGTGATAATTAGTTTCGTTACCTGAAAATTTGACTTTTGAAAGAGTAGTGGCATAGGATTTTAGAGATAATATTAACTGCTATTGGTTATCAGCTACCAAATGTAAAACAAGTGGTGGGGAAGTGAATTACTTTGTTCTGCTTACTGACGAACCTTGTATGTAGATATTAACTGTGATATTCTGGATGGATCAGGGTGTTTGATATCTCCTTCATACTGAAAATATCAATAATGGATTGATTTAAAGATAAGCGACGTTTTGAAAATATCACGAAATGGGAGGTAACTCACGATAAGAGGTGTGGCACCTTTTTTAAGTATTGATATGAAACAGAGGATTTGGTAGAAAACATTTCGTGTACTGATAATTAGATTTATATCCTCTTGCTGTGCAAAGTTTTCAACATGCTTGATTTTTGCTTGCAATTCTTCCATTGAAATTGGTAACAAAGCATCTCTAAATTCAAGATAAATTCACTCCGCTGATGATATATACTTATATTCCAAGTTGACGATGTGAAAACCAGATAACAAGAAGAAAGTTTGATAGAGAAGTTGATAGATAAATTTCCTGATACTTTCAAAATTATGCTATTTACAATGTTTCTCATTACTTGTGAGGCAAAAGTAGTGGATTGTATTCAGTGCCGAGTATTTCCGCTTCGCAGTCACTCGATGCTTTGGGGAAAAATCCACTCCACCAGAAATCCCGGTTTTCCTTCATTGCAACCTTGAAAAAATAACGAAAAGTAGCCGAGGAATTGTTCTCTGTTTCTGATTCCGAGAACAAGTATTTGCTTTTCTTCACCAACCACGGAACTACAGCTTTAGAGTGGTTTTGTAATTAAGACTGGGTGTAAACGTGTGTAAGGTTTACATTCTTAATTACACGCAGTTTACGATTTAGAAAAAACGCAATTTACAATTTAGGGAACAAATTTGCATAAGGTTTTTTCATCCCTGCTTAAAAATTTAAATCTGTTTAAGGTAATTACACCTGAATGACATAGTCATATATTTATTTGAGTTCAAATATCTAAGATTTGTGTTGCTACCTTATACAAGTAGTAAGGTCGTCGACCGATTAAATGAACTTGTGGTGGTGGCATTTTTTCATCTGGACTTACATGTCGTATCACAAGTATACGTTTTATGGGCTGCAAGGAAAAGAAAAAAGTGGAATAAATGAAATGTACTTTTTTTCATTACAAAATAAGCATATCTGTATGTTCAGAAAATGATAATTCTGACTGGAATAAGCTGATTATTCTACGAAATATGAGTTTGTTATCTGGCTGTATCCCCGAAATTGCGCTAATTGGTTTAGAAAAATTGAATAGTGAGAAAAATGTACAACATCCATGACAGCTTCATCTAGAAGTTCCTTGCTTCGAATTAATCGAGTACCATACCAGAAACCATCTACTGTTATCACCGTGTCTGCACTGCTCTCTTTTATAATGCCTCGTAAGTAGCCAACATTTTCATCCATTGCACTCTGAATCATTCTTTGCAGTGCGAGGCTATCCAAGCAATCATTTTACAAATGTAACTTTTTTAAATCATTCATTCAGAATTATCAGTTCGCTTAATTTTTATGAGTTGGCGAATACAAGGCACAATATAAGATTCAATCCTAATTACTAAAGTAATTACGATAGGTAAAACAGTAAGTCCAATTCGAAGCGAGGCAAGCGTAGCGATTGGTAGCTGTAGAACATTAGGTAAGTAAAGAATCAGAGGTTTGTCCTTCAGATTCATTTCTTTAAATATATTCGCGCATTTCTTCACTAATATATCCACCGTTTCCGCACTTAACTCACTTTCATCGTAAACATCCATGTCATAGTAATTACCAATCCTGGATATTAAAAGGTCAAGGGTTGTTAAAGTTTCCGGACTTCATTGTTGAATATTTTTAAATTGTTGTTACGGTGTAATGAATGCATACCGTGTTCCCCTCCCCAGCGCATTCATAAACATAAGCGAGCCTGCGTGAATTCGGGAATTAAAAAAGTCATGATCATTTTCCATTGCAAGTTATATAAAATCTAATGAAGAAATGTGAAGTGTATCAGTTTAGTATACATCAAAAATTTACCAGTATAACCGAGTTGCTTCATTAGTAATTTTTCCTTTCCAAGCATCCACACATTTGTAGGATAGATTTCGAGTAACCATTGAAAATTTCTAAAGACTAATACTTTGCACTCACACTTCATAATCTAATAATACAGATTATGCGTAAATCATAATTTGATTTAAAAGGACTACACTCTGGCAATTGGTGCATCAGGAATGATGCTGTTATCATGAATACTTAGTTTACAGTGTTAATCTTTGTCACGAAAGTTATGTATGCTAGAAATGACATTCACCTGAGAGAAGTTCTACAAAAATCTAGTACCAGTGAAAAGATTTTTCCGTAAAGTAACTAATTACAATTTTCCCAGATATAAATTTCGGAACTTATTCTAGGAATCAACTGAACTCAGTATAGCAACATAATATAGACGTCTAAAATAGAGTACATCATGCATTTCAATATCAGATCACTTTGCAGTATTGTTAAGCATTTTTTAACTAAAACGAATCTGTAGCTGTTGACGTAAGAATAATGACAACACTATTGCAAAGCGTCGGCAAAATCGCATCTGACACTCACTTTAGGGACCAAAGAGGTTTTTCAATTTAAAGTTTATCTCTTGCCTTCAAAAAACTGTCTATATAATACCACCAACGTGTCTTTCTAAATACACCCAACAAAGGAATTGGATTTGGTATTTTAGCTATTATACCAAATCTCTTGGAAGTGGCCATAATTTGTTTCGGGAAAGAAATAAGACTACTGGAAGTTCTGCTGCTAAAGTCTATATGAGATAAAATAAGTCAGATACTGGATGAAGTCTTTTATACCGATCAGATAAGTGGCTATAATTGTAACCTGTTGCATGCCTTTAATCCCCATTAAATTGGCGTGGTTCATCCTTACTACTATCTAAATAAAATTCTTCATCTCCACAAATCTCGACTTTTCGAAAGTGTTGCTTCCTTCTTTTATATTTTACTTTCTGAACTAATTTTTGATGATTTATGAAAACATATCATTTACTGCACGAATCGATGACTAATAAATACAACCTATATTTTATTTAGATGCTCAGTATTAATCTATTTGTTTTCAAATTACATAGGTTAAAATCTGTGTGTCAAAATGCATCAAATACATTTATTTTAATCGCAATTCTTCTAAAAAATTACATGCTTATCAAAATTAAACTGTGAACAATTATTGCTGCTCGGATAAAAAAATACTGGATGAGATTATCAGTGATATTACCAGTATTAACTAGCACAACGTGACATTCCTGCTAAGAAATGAATTAAAAGTTAAACTATCACAAGCATGGGAAGTATCGAAAATTATCAAAGGATTAAGAACAATGTGAAGAGTTTGCAACACTTGACAATAATGAACTACAATTTCACAGCGAAGATCGAGGATAATAAGAATAGCATCATTGCAGTACAGTGCTTCAACCAGTTCGAGTTTCATTTCGACCATTCCACAAATGAGCAATAACTGTCTCATCGACGAGTGTGGTTGTGTCTCCCAAATCTGCTCTTTTGTCACCTTCAGCTACTTTTCGTAAGATACGACGCGTTATTTTCCCTTCAATTCGGTATAAAATAATTTGATTCTCAAAAATAAAAAAGCCACAGAATGGTTTTTTAATGCTACAACGACTTAGCAGTTAATATATATATTTAGACAATTTTCTGCAAATGTTAAATATTTTCTGTATATATAACTGAAATCTTTTAACAACCAATTAATCTATATTTTAATTGTTGATTAACTAAAACAGGTCATAAATGAGAAAGTTAGCACCAGATCGAGTCTTAGGTAATCCGGGAGCTAACTGTATGACGTCCGGAACCGCGATAGCACCAATTTTTCTTCGTACTAAGAGTTTTAAATCATCAATTTTCCGATCAGTAAGTTTTGCACCCTAAAATAAACTTTGGCACTACAGCTCTTTCTCCAGCTTTTTATGTCTTTTAAACTATTAAAATCTTTAAAAAATCGTCTAGATTATTGTCATCTTCGCTTATAAGATTAATATTCAGGCTATTAGTTCAAAAAGTACCAGTCGCAAAGTGACAAATGCATAAGGGAAGCTGCCCTTAATGTCATGCGGTGCTGCAACAACAGCTGCTTCCACTACATCATGATCAGAAGCTAAGGCGGATTCAATTTCTGTCGTTGAAAGTAAATGACCCGAAACATTCATGAGGTCATCAATACGTCCTGCAAAAGAAGCAAAGACTAAACTGATATGAAATATTAAAAAACCAACGGAAAGTAAGGAAATTGCACATATATTAAAAAAGATACCAGTAATCCAGTAGTACCCATCGGCATCTCTACGAGCTCCATCACCTGTGAAATAATAGCCAGGGAATGCGGAGAAGTACGTTTTTACATATCGATTATGGTCACCCAGTACACTCCTACTTATTCCGGGCCACGCTCGTTTGAAACACTACAAAAGAAATAGATATGACTTAATATTAGGTAATAACGGAATGCCAACGCCAACATTTCTATATTCCTTACGTCAGAGCTTGCCCATGTTTCCTTTTATAATAACTAAAGTAAACGTGTATTTATTGCACACATGATTGGGATACTTTTTTTTATTAGCTGCTAAAAAAGTGTTAACTATTGAGCATAACTATGTTAGTAAAAGTTATTAATGTTTTGTAATGAGTAATCTTCTATTTAAAAGACCAAAATAATGATACCAATGTTCCTTCACCACATCCTTTGATTTCTCTACCGTCAGCATCAAGAAGAGCTGGTTCTATCCCAAAAAAGGGAAGTGTAGCACTACCCGGCTTACAGGGCAATGCTGCTGGTAATGGTGCTATTGTATGTCCACCTGTTTCTGTCTGCCAGTATGTATCAATAACTGCACAACGACTTTCCCCAACAACCTAAAATTTATACGATTTTGATGCAGCACTTTTTCTACTGAGCAAAAATGCTATTCATAAAATATGAAAAGTAATCACCTTGAACAACCACTTCCATGCCTCAGGATTAATGGGTTCACCTACTGAGCCAAGCAAACGTAATGATAAACGATTGTATGGCAATATATATTGAGAGCCAAAAGTCATCAAAGAACGAACTAAAGTTGGTGCAGTGTACAAAGTTGTCACCTAAAACAAATTATTTTTTATCAAACAGCAAGAGAGATATAATAGTAAGTGATGAATAGTAATCTGTCAAATCCGTATGACACTTGATTCAAGTGAATACTAACCAAATATAGGATGATTACAAGGCAGTTCCCATCAAATACTTTCAAAAAATATCAATATACAATTGATGAAAGAGCTGCGCATAAACTTACACCGTACTTCTCAACAATTTGCCACATTCGTGAGGGTGTTGGATGAGTAGGTACACCTTCATACATGACACATGTCAAGCCATTAAGCAGAGGCCCATACACAAGATAAGAATGTCCAGTGATCCATCCACAATCTGCTGTACACCTATATTGACAAGATTTTCAGAACAGTCATTCTTTGTTAATGACATTTTAGAAAAAGAATTTCAACTAACAGATGCTAACTTCATTACCATTTATAAATAACCTCTAATTTTTATTTTATTCTGGCTTTTCAATTTTCCTTAAACGTTAAAAGTGAATGCAAAAATTATTAAGTTCCGAAATTTATGGATACAAGCTGCTTTCCTGGATTGTCCAATGACATTTTAAAACATAACGCTATGAATCGCATCGATTTGCACAATCATTCTGTACCAAAAATGCAAACAAAAAACAAACCAATAAATATCTTTATGTGGTTGTGCATCAAAAACGTATTTGACCGTAGCATAAGTATATGTCATATAACCAGCGGTGGTGTGCACAATGCCTTTTGGTTGACCTGTTGAACCAGATGTGTAAAGAACAAAGAGAGGATGTTCAGCATCATTCCATTCAACTTCACAACTTGCACCAGCTAATCGTTCCATTTCTTCTTCCCAAATAACATCTCGTTTTGAACATAATTTGACCTGGAACGATCAGAATATTGAAATTGGAAAAAAAGATAAAAACCAATGGCTTGTTGTGAACGATTAGTTTTCTGCAAAACTGGCAGTATAAAATTAATCTTTTAGGCAGCTAATGATAATAAAATTTTGAAAAGCATGATGAAAAAGCTCTGTCTTCTTCATTCTGCTTCTCAGAACTTCATCATTATTAGCTATCAGCTGCTAAAACGGTCCAAAACTAATGACTAAATTACTGAAAGAAAAATAAGAATGTTATATTAAAATAAAATTGCATTAACATAAAAGCCTGCAAACTATAAATATTATAATTACGTCAACAGAGGGGATTTGATTCGGTCTTCGAACACGCTCCAAATGTTTCACAAGGATGACACGCTCTACATGTTTGCCCTGAAGACGGAGTGAATTCAAGGCTAAACATACAAAAAAATTTTTTTTATTTTACAGCAACATTAAATATGATGAGGGAAATTGAATAAAAAGCCCTGAGGAATTATCTGATAAACATTATATTCCTAATGATTGTTAATTCATTTTTTGAATTTTAGTGACTACACGACAAAAAGCCCTTATTGCTTTGATTTTGCAGTATTAAATTTACTACCAATGAATTATGAAGTAATAATCACATGCCCTACCAATGCAGAACATTCAACCAAAGCATCATCAACGATTGCTTTCAATGTTACGAGTTTCACACCCCGATAATATCCATCAGCAGTGATAACAATCCGAGCTCCTGTCTGACATATTCGCGCTGCAAGTGCACTAGCGCTGAACCCAGCAAATACCACCGCATGCACAGCACCAATACGAGCACATGACAGCATAGCTATTGGTAATTCTATAGTCATTGGTAAATAAATCACCACTACATCTCCCTGAATAACAAAAATGATTACGAAGAATATCATATTTATTAGCGAAATATAATTTGAAATGTCAATGCTACAGTTTTACGAGGTCTTTTGACATTCTCAACTATCATAAAATTGAATGTTTTGAGTCTACCTTCACGTTTAATTTTATGTTTCGAGAAAATGGAAATCATAAACCTTCTTTACTCCATGAGAACGAAGAACTGATGAAAAAGTGATGACTTTATCTAACAGCTCTTGAAATGTGATTGAGGAAGAATCACCCGGTTCATTTCCTTCCCACAAAATTGCCATCCGAGAACCATGTCCTCAAATACTGACATTGCTACACAGCTTTACATAAACATACTAGACAAACTTTTTGTTCTTTTAATATTACAAAAACTGAAATAGCATTGAATCACATAGTTGTAATAACACAGCAAAATCGCATCAAAAAGAGAGATATCTATATTATTTTTATTTGCATCTGATAAACAATAGAAAAAAGCAAATCTAGAAACAAAAAATCATGACTCAACTAATTCAAACTTGCCATTATTGATGTTTCGCTCTAAGCAGTTATATGCAATATTGGTCTGTGCTCCTTCCATAAATTTTACAAAAACATCACCTTTACGAGGATCAAAGTTCCATTCCAATCCCTAAACACTTTTCAACACAACATTTTGTATTTAATAACATGAAATTTCATGTCAACATATTACATTAATTTCTCTTCTAGAAATAAAGAAATAACGAGTTTTTAATAAATAATCATCGACGATTTTAGAAGTCTAAATTTCCAAAAATGAATTTAACTCTCATATATGCGAAAATCGATTCTTACTAAACTAATTTTATGTCATTTTATTTTCAGTATTTTCTGAAAGAAAACAATTCAATGGATGAATGTCATCAGTACTTACATCAGTTTTCTTCACCTCTACAGTTATATTATACTGAGATATTGCAAGAAACAAGAAGGTATGAATTTTTTTGAAACATTAACGAACTTTTTTGGAATCCTTCTCAAAATACAGTTCTTTTGCAACAGTTCTCCAAAATTCATCGACATTGTTGATAGACTTATTGTACAATTCCTGGTAAGAATCAATGCCCGTGACATGAGCACCTAAACAAAATACTTTAATCGATTAAGTTTGATAGTTTTAGATAAAATGCCGAAGAAAAAAATTTTTCTTCGCTAAAAAAAGTATTGATATCATACAAAATTTTTTAACAGATTACTGTTAAGACAGAGATTTGTTACTGTTGTGAGGCAAGAAAAAAAATTCAATTTCACAAACTATGCAAAAAACTTTCGAGGA